TGTAGAATAATAAGAGAAAGAGAGAAAAATAGAAAGACAGAGAAAGAAGGAAAAAAATGATCGATAACTTCCGCTAGGAGCGAGCGATATGAGACAACGAGCGACGTGAGCGTCGCGTTTTGAGAAAAAGAAAAAAGAAGAAAGAAAAAGAAGGAAAATAGAAACAAAACAAAAAAAAAAGAAAAGAACGTTCCGTCTATATTTAATATCCCTTTTCTTTCCTGAAGGATGACATATCTTTCTTTATTATCATCGATACCTTGATCGTAGAGCACCGTAATTAATTTCACAGGATCACAAATGAAAAGAAACAAAAAGAAAAAAAAAATAATATCTTCGACAACAAAATCTAATTCACTATAATATCAACTTCATACTTCCCAACTTAAACGTGGCTAAACCTTCTATAATAATATATCTTTTATACCTTTATATATATTTCAAAAACGAGAGATAGAAGGAAAGAAAGGAAAAATAAAAAGAAGAAGAAGAAGAAGACAAAAAACGAAGGAGAACGAAAGTAAAGAACAAAATGTAAAAAAAGCGTGTGTGCATGGGCGTGTGTGCGTTTGTGCGATGATTGAGCTGGCGAGGAATGGGCGAGAAAAAGCGGGAGAAAAAGAAAAAAAAGGGGAGGGGAGGGGAGAGAAAAAAAAAGCAAAAGAAAACTTTTAACATAAGACTAAAAATCGATTCGATCGTTATTGGATCGACGATGGATGATAATACGAAATCGGAAAAGATTTTTTTCTCAAACGTGACGAAAAACGCGCGCGTTTCTTCTCTCGATCGCGCGTGCGAGAGAGAAAGAAAGACAGTGAGAGAGAAAAAGAGACAGAGAGAAAGAGAGACAGACAGAGAGAGAGAGAGAGAGAGAGAGAGAGAGAGAGAGAGAGAGGGAAGGAGGGAGAGAGAGAGAGAGAGAGAGAAAAAGAGAGAAAAAAAAATAGAGAGGAGAGAAAGAGACAGATAGATAGATCGAAGAGACAGAAGGACGAAAAGAGATGCGCCGACGGGACTCGGCGCGAGACTGGAGCAGCAAATCGCCGTAGACAAGATACTCCGAGAGAGGGCTCATCCAGAGAGAAGTCTCTCCAGCATCTTTCCCTCTCTCTCTTTCTCTCGCTCTTACGCTCACTTTTATTCTCTTTATCACGCTCACACGTATACTACTTCTTTCCCTTTCCATCTCAGTCTCTCTCTCTCTCTCTCTCTCTCTCTCTCTTTCTCTCTCTCTAATTTTCCCCTTCCTTCGAACGAAGACGATGCTCTCAACCCTTCTTCTACCATCTTCTTGTCAACGTTCGGGATGCATGTATCAACATCTCTTTCTATCGTTCTTTCTATCTATCTCTCTCTCTCTCTCTCTCTCTCTCTCTCTCTCTCTCTCTCTCTCTCTCTCTCTCTCTCTCTCCCCTTCTCTGTCTTTGTCTCTTTGTCTTTCTTTTAGCATACTTGAACGCAGCCTAATACGAATTATAAACGGGCACGCGTACGTATTCGCACGATAAGGAAAGCAAAAGAAAAAGAAAAAGAAAAAGAAGGAAAGAAAGATAGAAAAGAAAATTAAAAAAGAAAAATGAACGATATTGATGCTGTCTAAAACATCAATCTAAACTGATTAATGTGAAGATAAATGTTATGCAATAAAAAGGCGTACATTGCTTCTCGATCTTCTTCTTATTTAAATAAGAAATATAGGTCAAATAGATGTTTAGAAACGAGACTTTCTTATCTTGGGCCATGGTCATCTCGAGAATATTTTTTTTGTCATAATTCCCTATACATTAACAAATCGTATTACAAACGCGAAAAACAAACGTCAGTCTCGATAAATAAACAATTGTACACACTCGGTTCGTTGTTCTTTCGTCAAATATCAAAAGCCCAGAGTCCTGTTTATCGTGATAGTAATATTTTATACGATAACATTAAAGTTTTATAATAGCGATCGTTCTACATTAGAATATTAGAAGAAGAATTATAGTAATGTAGGTACGGAAAGTAGGCCGAAGAATACTTTCGCAATATTCTTTATCAAAACGTCGAAGTTTTGATTAAGAAATACTAGTGACATTGACCTTTTGGTTCTGGACCAATAAATCCGTCCGAGAGAAGGCTGAATTGAATTAACATATTAAAATAAAGATTTCATAGAGTATTGCCATTTAAATAGAAATTATTTTACAATCCGTCGATTTACATTGTAATATTATAATTAATTGAAGATGGAAGAAGAGAGAAAAAAAAATAAAAAAAAAAAAAAAATAAAACAAAAAAAGAAAAAAGAGAGGAACAAAAAAGATCAAAAAAAGAAAGAAGGAATAAGGAGGAGGAAGAAAATATTATGATCTAATAAATCAAATCGTAATCGAATGCAAAATAAAATAATAATAATCATTTCTCGCATTATGAATAAAACTATTCACCGAGTAGACGACGATCGTAAATAAAGAATAAAATAAAATAAAGTAAACAAAAAAAAAAAAAAAAAAAGAGAAAAAGAGAAAGAAACAAAAGGAGAAAAAAGAGAAAAAAGAAAAAAAAGAAAAAAAAACAAGAACCATCCGATATAATGAATCAACAAAGAGAGAATCTAGTCTATGCGGGAGAGAATGTCGTCGAAGTGACGAATTGAATCGCGTGCTTGGTGTGAATGCGAGAGAAAGAAAGAATATGATGATGATGCGATGCTTGTTAATTAGGGCACATAAAGGCGTATATATCTTTAGAGCGGAACAGCCTTTGATACGGGATGATATCGTACGATAGATGTCAAATAGATAAAGGCACGACGAGTCTCGCTATAATTTCAACGTTATTGTCTCTTATATCGCAAATAAAGATACATAGATATCTATTTCAACGTACTCTCAACGATAATTTCCATCTCGATACGTTGCCTTGTTTATCAAAGAAAAGCCAATTGGATGTTACAGAAGAGGATTCAATTCGTTATGTTCGTTAGGTGAATTCCTGCTGGTAAACGAGCCATGCAAAATGTACGTGCTTCTATTGTACATAATTTCTTCTCTCTCTCCCTCTCTCTCTCTCTCTCTCTCTCTCTCTCTCTTTCTTTCTTTCTCTCGGTAAATTCTTCTTTCAATGGTTGCAACAACACTTCCTCGTTCAAGAAGACGACGACGAAGAGTAACGAACTCCTGGGGGGTCCGAGAACGGTGTCGGATGGCGGTAGAGATAATGTTTCACGATGAAAGACACGATGAGAAGATACGATCGAGGAATACGGTCGAGCGTTAAGCAGCTCCATAGAAAACAGACTCCGAAATCTACACTTCAAAAAAAGTTCCTTCGTAGAAGAAGAGATACGACATTACGTTTTATTTCCTAACGTCTTCATTCAAATGACTTTTTGTTGTAGAAAGTACGAGGTGCTTGGAAAAAGAAAAAAAAAAGAAAAAGAAAAAAGAGACAGAGAGAGAGAGAGAGAGAGAGAAAAAATATCAAACATTTTTTTTTTCTTTTTTTTTTCTTTTTTTTAACTAATAATTAAACGACCATGCAATGCTTATTTCGTATGCGTGTGTGTATATAATTTGTTACGTCGTTGCCAAGGCATACGTGAGAATAACTCTTTCTTTCACTGTAGTAGAAAAGACAGAAAGAGAAAGAGGAAGAGAAAAAGATGATGGACTAACTGCTAACAAACACGAAGGACAATGATTACCGGCTCGGCGGGTGCTCTCACACCGACACGCGACTTCTGATCCTTCACGCACGATCCAACACCGTGTCTACAACAGCTACTGCACCTGCAATCAAGAAACATACGCAAACGTGCTCGGCTCGGGATCGGAGACGTACAGTATGCTCGGTTAACGACTTTCTATGAGACTTTTTTTTTTTCTCAAGACGACCAATAGAAATTAGATGTTTATGAAATTGCAATATTTACTTTTTCTATTTTTTTTTTTTTTTTGCTTTTTCGTTTTTTTTTTTTTTTTTTTTTTTTTTTTATTATTATTATTATTATTCTACTCTACGACGTTGATATTGCGATATTATAAATTAACATTTTAAATCAATCAAGACGTACGACGAATATCTTTATTAATTATCTTCGATCGAGTCGCGGGGCTGTTTTGTACAAAATTGAAAATAAAAAAATTGAAAGGAGAAAAAAAGGAAGAAATAGAAGAAAAAAAAAAACGAAGAAAAATCAGAAAAATAAATAGTCATTCGATTGTCGATAATATTATTATATTTACGATCGTTCTCATTAAAGACGATAACGATAATCTCTGAATAATAATAATAATCTGATAAGTTCAACAACTTGCACTGTACCTTAAGGTACACCTCTAGGTTTATTATGAATCCTTTTTGCTTACTCGTCGCCTTTCTCGTAATTTTGTAATAATCGTTGGTAGGACGACATGGTAGGAAAGAGAGACTGGTCTGGTGTATGAAAAATCGGCATAACGATAATCATGCTTTTTTTTTCTTTTTCTTTTTCTTTTTTTTTTTTTTTTTTTTGAAGAGAGAGACCGTCGGGAGTGGCATCATTAAAAGGTATATCGCGCACCGTCATCAACAACGCAATATATGTATGTAAGCCTGTATTCTTGCCATGGAGCATGATCTACGTAAGTAGAGAAACTTTTACGGAAAAGCATGAGCCTATCCTTGACCGGGGGAGGGGGAGGAGGGAGAAAGGGGAAATCAAGATAATTCTAATCAAAAATATACGAAGAAGAAAAGAATTCGCGCATTCTGATAATCATTCTAATTAATTGTCGAACGATTCTAAAGGCAAAATAATTTCTTTGAGATCGCTTAATATATCGTTAAATATCTATTTACAAGGATATTCATTTATTATTATTATTATTATTATTATTATTATTATTATTATTATTATTATTATTATTATTATTATTATTATTATTGTTATTATTATTGTTATTGTTATTATTGTTATTATTATTATTATTATTATTATTGTTGTTGTTGTTGTTGTTGTTGTTGTCGTTGTTGTTGCTCTTTTTTATGTTCTTGCGCTTTTCTTCCCTCCTTTCTTTCCTTTTTTAGGCGTGTCGATAGATTTAATGCTAGATATATAAGCCTGACGTATCTCATAAGCTTCCTCAAGCTGAACTTTCCTTTGAGAGAAATTCTCTTCGTGAGAGTTCCACAATTTTTTATATTTTCTCACTTGCTCAAACGACCAATTTTCCAATCGCTGAAGAAAATTATCATAATCCAGAAAGAAATTGGAAATATCGGCATATAATTGTTCATTTAAAATTTCTCTTTCCGAATTAGTTCTAATTCGAGATATTTCCAGTTTTTCTTCCGACTTTTCGTACTTACTCAAATCTAATATCGGTAAATCGAAGCTACGAGATCGTGGATATTTCAAAAACCTAATAACAATTTTCTCTGTTAACGACGATCGATCACAAATATTCGATTCTCGAATTTTTCGTCTTCCCATACGTTTGTTCATTTCAGTAGATATTTCTTTCTCTATGTTATTTAAAGAAATAGAATGTAAACTGTAAGTGTCCAAAAAAGTTTCTCTGAGTTCTTTACCACGTTGAAGTCGTTCAGGATTATCCTTCGACCATGATTCTTTCAAGGATATTATTTCCTGTTCTCTTCTTCTATCTTGAATAATCTATTTAATATAAAGATGAATTTTAACGATTCGAAAAAAATATCTCTTATAATAAAATCACCTCTATGCCACTATTAACATCGATGATGGTTTGAAATTTCCAAAAAGGCGAATCCAAGTGTTGATCGATCTGCTGCTTTGAATTACGTTTCATTCTTATCATATCGGATTTTTGTATTTTAATACTCGAAGATTTTGTTCGAACTGGAACATTTCTTTTCTTTGTCTTTGCCTCTAATACCTTGAAAATATATTAATTATACAATCTTTTTATATAGTTCTACATTATTAATAATTGATTTCTATACATACTTACCACTGACCATTCAGCATCAGTTAATGGCCAACTATCATCAAGGACGAATGCCTCGATGTAATAAGTAGTACGTGAATTTTCTATATTTACGTTTTCTTGTTCTAATCTCAAATATATAACCGGGACACATAGAACAAATCCACCCTCGATTTCTAATAAAACATTATCTTTATCATCGATGATTCTTAATTTCATTTGGGCCAATTTGTAAGAGATCGTCAATTTAAACGACAATAAACTGTCACGAATGATATTGACGATCCATTTGGAAATTAAATTCATCGAATTAGGTATATAAGTGTTAAATGTTTCTTCAACGATTAAAACGGGTATTTTCGTGTCCAAAGAAATGGGTTCCTTGTCAGCTAATTGATAAAACATTGGTTTTCCCTTAATTGTAACAAAATGAAGTATCCATTCCGTGTCTTCTGATCTTTGATTATCGCACCAGCCATAAGCGAAGAGCGTGTAACCGACTGTCGTATGCGGATAATTAGATGGAGCAACGTTGTTAATGAGTCTCCATATTTCTCGACCGGTTTCGTTATTGAATAATCTCAAATTGTAACTTGGTAAGTTTGTAAAAAGTTGTATCGTGCCAAAGATCGTTTCGTTTTCTTGAGCATTCACAATTAGTCTCGTTATTGGAATCCATTGATCTGGTTTAACGTTTAACAAAGTGCCTTTGCATTCTTGGATCTGGAACAAAGTATGATATAATAAAAACGTATGTTTTTTTTTTTTTTTTCTATGTACATCCATTAAAATTACTTGTAATACGTATTGAAAGTCCTTGGAACAAGGATAAGCTTCGTTAAATTTGTTATTTTTTTGAATGACCTTTCTCAACAAAGTTGACGCTAATGACTCGTTATTAGAATGATCGAAAAGTTCAACGATCATCAAGAGACTCGTTAAGATCTTTGAGTGATCCTTGTGATTGGAATTGTGTCGCTCTTTATAACGCTTAACGATCACCATCTTAAAGAATGCTTGAATGATGGTAGCTGCTTGATTATAATTTATTGATATCATTTCGCCAATCGATTCGTTTGAATCATTTTCTATAAACGATGACGTTTCTTGAATACCATACAAAATCGACGAAGTTCTTCTATGTTCGAAATCGATTGTAGGATTTAGAAAAAAGATTCTCAAAGAGAATAAAATTTCAGGATGCTTTTCCAATGGGAATATCTTTTTGATCGAATCCAATAACTCTTCTATGAAATACTCGTGTATTTTCTTGAAAAAAGCTCTATCTTTTTTGTTCGAAACGTTTGTTAAATCTGGCATATAACTTTGATAAAATGTCTTCAAACTCGAGAAATAATCTTTACTACCGAAACTCAAAAATGCTTTAGCTATGGAATTGCTAATGTTTTTAACTAAGACATCGATTCTCACTGATTCCGTCCTCATTAATGTATGTATTCTAAGTCGATCGCCAACGTAAAAAATTGTGTCAGATAAAATCGATACGAAACAACGTGACTCCGAACGGCAATAAATACGCAAAAGATGTCTTCCTGGTTCTAATTCCAGTACACTCGACTTAGTGCCAGATGTTGAAATGGATATAAGTGCTCTTGATTCGGTCTCCCTAAAGAACCAACTGTGTCTTTCTACAACGAGATTACTCCCATCTTCAGATAATAATCTTATCGATATCGAATCACAAGTCTCTTCTTCGTTCGAGACAAGATTCGAAGATAATCGTTCTTCCATGGTACTAAAATTTATTAACAAGAACTTCTCCTCGATTGAATCGCAAAAGAGATATAACGGCTCGTTTCTCGATGATTTCATGGTTCTAGGCCAGGCATAAGTATTCATAAATTCTATCGAATCATCATGAACCACGTCGGACGGTGGACTCTTTTTACTACCTTTCTTGGTATCTTTTTTTTGTTTCTTCGATGGCAATTTTATGTTCTTTTGATCATCCAGTAAAAAGGAATCTGACATTCTTAAATTATAACCAAAATATTCAGGCTTATAAAAGAGTTGAATGACTTTAACATAAGATGCCATTTTATTGAAATCACACCAAAAACTATTGTCATCGATCTTATCTTCGTTTGCATTTTTTTCAGGAGACATTACTTCCTGATTTTTTGTTTCCTTTAAAAATTCATTAACGAAGAAACGTTGATTTTTCCTTGGAAAAATTCCTTCCTTGGATTCTCTCAATGAACTGACAATTTTTAAACAACGTATAGGAACAAAATATTCAAATGGATCGAGCAAACCTCGATCGATCGCCCAATTTATCCATCGATATTTTTTCCATCTTGGTAATGGTTCTTTTATCTATGTAATAGAAAAACATCGATACATTTCTAAGAGTTCTGTTTCTCCTTCTCCCTCCCTCCCTCTCTCTCTCTCTCTCTCTCTCTCTCTCTCTCTCTCTCTTTTTTTCTCTATTGAAGTAAAAAGTATATCGTAGAGAAATAATTTACGTCTTTAGGATCCAATGGAAGATCACGCGATTGAACGACATGAACCAAATGGCTCCAGCAAGGCGACAAACCGGGCACTGTCTCGGGCTTGACCTCTTTCATATCTTCCAAATCGAGAAACAGCGTGATAGGTCGAGGTTTATCAGGAAGTTGCAACCCTTTAACGCCTCTTCGAATTCTTTTCCCTTTTTTGCTCGATTTTTTTTGCTCTTCTTCATCTAGACAAAAAAAAAAAAAAAAAAAAAAAAAGAAAAAAAAAAATATAGATATAAGTCTTTAAAGGGTGAATAATCGCGTTTGATCATTTTTCAAGTTTTATTTTTATTATTCTTTCTTTTCTTTTCTTTTTTTTTTCAATAAGATCTATCAATCGAAATACCATGCTTCGAGACGATCATTTGTTTATCCTATAAAATTCGTTTAATGATGACGAAAAGAAAACCAACCAAGCGTTACGTTCTCCGAGTTAGTTCCTTCCTGCTTCCATTCGAAGTGTTCCGCATATTTCACTAAGAACTCCCACTTGTCTCGAGGGGAAAGATGAACGACGTTCAAAGACAAACAGATCCATCCTGTCAAAACCAAATGGAATGAGTAGACAAAAAACGTACATTTATATATAAACATATATGTATATACATATGTGTGTGTGTGTGTGTGTTCTATAATTTTTTGTTGTACTTTTTCTTTTGTAGAAAAAAAAAAAAAGATGAATATTTTTTATTAAGCTAAAGATTAAATGGAGACAAACGAACAATTGTTATTAATAAAATAAAATTATTTGTATACGATTATGTAACATGGATTTTAATTTTATTGAAGGATATTAATCAAATATAATTATATGATAATTTAATATAAACAATTACGATTTAGAAAAAAATAAATTCGAGAACCTTGATTCGTTCTTTTTCTTATTTTTTATATTATTTATTTAAAAATATTAATAACAAATCAAATATTTCTCTTTTTTTCTTACGTACCAGTGAGACAAGAAACCGGATTAAAATCCACAATTTCTCTTTCTTGTGTCCACGTTAACGATGCAATTTTCAATAAAGCTTTTGCCAAAAGTAAAGGCCATAATTCAAAATTATTATCTGTAGTCGGTAAAAGAGGATTACCATCTTTATCGACGGGTATGAAATCATCTATCAATATTCGACGCCAGCATCCAAGAAAATAAAGACGTACGATATATTTTCCTAATTAAATATTATATCTATTATAATTTATAAATAATATATTCGATAGATAAAATATTTGCAATTTGCATTTACCATTTGGATTAATAATTGGACGATGAGACGCACCATGACCAGCTTTATTATTCGAATAAATGTGCATCCAACCCTGCCATTTTTCTTCTCGTCCATTCCAAATAAAATTATCCGTTTCTCCGCTCACTTCTAAACCATTTTGCCCGCAATATTGTAGATTTATTAAGCTCGAAATAAACCATCTGATGAACTAAATTATATTCGTATATGTCATTGAACTCGATTGTAAAAATCTTAACGTTTTAAATTCTTATAAATATTTTTCTTGTCCCATTTTTTTTTCTTTTCTTTTTTTTTTTGTTTTTTTTTTTGTTTATAAAAAGCTGATAAATTTCAACGTACTTCACTGTGCAACAAATGTTTATTCCTTTTTATTAAATCAGGATATTCTTTAGTAATTTTAAAGACAGTTAATGGTTCCTAAAATTAAACGTACTCGTTTTAAATTCAAATATATTAATGAATATTCAATAATTTAATATACTGTTAAATCCTTTAAATAATTCGAACGAATCCATTCATATGGTTCTAAAGATAATGGCATCGGTGTTGATTCTGTATCGAAAAATAATCCGTCGTCGCCATCTAAATTATTAATAATATAAATTAATTATGACATTTTATTTTACACCCTAATATAGTTAATAATATATTATAATAATTACTTTGTGGTAAAGACCATTTTTCATTATTTAATTCCGTATCTTTCCATTCTTTCCAAGGTATAATATTATTTTCCTTCAAATAATCCTTAAAATCCGTATCTGTTAACTTTTTGGATCTAACTGAAATGTCCATTTGTGTTTAATTAACTATACATATATATATATATATATATATATATATATATATATATATATATATTATAATAATCATGCAATGTAATTATTTTTCGTAATTAAAGACACTTAAATATTCCGAGAACAACGCATTTTTGGAAATAAAAAAAGATTTGAAATAAAAGTAATTTGATTTGATATTCGATCCTGTTCGATTTTATTCGATACTATGCGATTCTCATTTAATTCTTTCATTTCCAAATTTTTTTTATCGAAATACAAATGAGATAAAAAATTGTTCAAACAGAAGTTATTCGTTTTTTCTGAGGTAAAGGGGAGGGGTTAGTAAAATAAGATAATTCAAGAATTTTAGATTTCCATATAAAAAAAAAAAAAAAAAAATTATAAAATTTGTTCGAAAACATTCATCAAATCAAAAATATTGTTTATGATATTCTTTTAAAAAATCTAACAATATTAGTTTCAAATTATCTTCTTAAAAATGTGTCGTTTTTGAAATATTTCCAGTATCTCAATTTAAAAAACTTAATCTATATTTAAACAAACATATATACATATACATATACATATATATATATATATATATATATATATATATATATATATAACTTCGCATTTGAAAAATGTATATCTTTATTATTCATTCAATTTGTTATACACGTCTATATTTGTAAGACAGTGGAATGTATGTATATATCTACACTGTAGAATAAGAAATTTGAATTTTGTTATTAAAGAAAATCTATAAAAAAAATTCTACATTAACGTAATCGTAGAATTGTTAGTACCTAATATTTATTATCGCAATTTCATTTGCGATAATAAGAATAAAAATTGATTAGCAAAATAATAAGAATTATTACAAGAGTAATAAAAAATTTTACAAAAAATAATTATTATTATATTAATATTAATATTAATATTAATATTATTATTATTACTATTATTATTACTATTATTATTATTATTATTATTATTATTATTATTATTATTATTATTATTATTATTATTATTATTATTATTATTATTATTATTATTATTATATCAATATTATTCGCTTATTCTACTAGCTTAATGATTGTTAATTATTGTTAACTGAACTAAATAGGGATAATAATGATCAAATGATCATCTTCTTAACGAAAACTACTATATAATAGCTATCATTAAGTAGCAATGTTTCCCTGTCATTGAATCACCATTATATCAAATTAAGTTTACATATATGCGAAATATATGTTTTAAATTACAATCTATCTTGCCATTTGTATATAAAGAGTTCTTTAAAGTCTTAAAGCTATACATGTGTATATAGATATATAGTAACAGTTAATTCATAATAAACATTCTAAGCAATTCATTGCTCAAATTAGAGTAAAACTTTTCTATATGAAATGTATTTGTTACTTTGTCTCTCTTTCTCTCGCATAAATTTTAACTTGTAAATGTATACGATTATTTAACTATGAAAATAATAATTATTAGATTATTTCAATCTTATAGAATTATTCTAAACAGAGTTTTACCAAAATATATATATATATATATATATATATATGTGTGTATGTGTGTGTATCTTTAAACGATACACAATACACGATACATTCAATTTGACATATTCGGAATAATCTTTGTTCGATTAATAGCATCTTTGTAACAACAGAGGACTACATACTGTAGCAGTAAAAGCGTTTTAATAATTATATGGAGAAAAATGTATAATGTCTGAATAACAGGATTTTGTTATGTTCTACAACACGTTTAGATATACATTTAAGCGCGATCAAACATTATAACACTTAAGTTATCTTATAAAACGCTTGAACCGTATGAAAATTTCAAGCGTTAGACAATCGATTAGGGCCATAAAACGATAGATCTCTTTAATGAATTATTATCTAATATGTATATCCATGTAAATCATGCAGTCAAACGTAATGTAAGCTTGATAAAAAAATATTAATTATCTTCCTTGATCAGGACTTTGTCCTATTTGGAATTCCTGATGTAGTCTTTTTATTCATACGTGTCTGTGTGTAAAATTAATTTCCCTTTTTTTTTTTCTTCTTTTTTTTTTTTACCAAAAAATGCATTTCTATTATACTTTAATAGCAAGAACCAGCTTGCTCTATAGCAGCAAGGCAAAATAATTTGAAAAATGCATTAGGTCGAAATGTACAATGATTTTCAATATTTTATCAATTCTGGTCAATTAGAAAAATCCAATTCATTTCGATAAATTTGAAAACAAATGATTTTTGTTTTGTTTTGTTTTGTTTTGCAATGTATCGACAAATCTTTTATGAGCTTATTTTAATGATGGTGCCTTAATTGTTATTCCATTTACTTTATCTTACTTTTTTCACATTATTTTGGCACAAATTTTATTAACGATATTTCTTATAATTCGAATAAAATTACGAATTATTTCTTTTAAAGAAATAAAATATTCTTAAGCATTCGAGTTCGAAGTGAACGTGTAAAAAAAAGAATTCACGAGTCCAACTATTCAAGACTCTATTTGTGTATATTATTTAAATACTTTAAGTATATCTATCTCGTACTCAAAAGATTCAACATCCTTTGGCATAGATACAGTTTTCTAAATGTATTGTTTGCTCAACTAATCATCTGTGCTCCAGTATTGGCAGTGCTTGAGAAATTTTAGGCATTTTTTAAAAGCAATACCTTAACACATGATTCCTAGTTTCTAATATAATTAATTGTGTTAGATTGCTAGATTTAAGAATATGCAAGATATATATATATATATATATATATATATATATATATATGCATTTGATATTATGTAAACAACTCCAAATTATTCCTAGAAATAATTCAAATTTGTTGTTGTATTAAATTTGGCACCATATATGCTAAGCTCTCTGGCGTATAGGAATGATAAAACATAATATGTATATAAATGTAAGTAAAATTATTGCATATTTATATATGATAAAATTGATACGATGAATAAAGGGCCTGATATCAAT